AATATATAGTATTATTGAAATTATAATAAAATTGAAATTTCAATTGAAAATTACTATTACAGTATAAGTTTAAATGTCAAATAATTAATATAGTATTAGTTCAAAAATTTTTTATATATAAGTTATAAACTTGTATTTACTATTTAAGTGATGTTCAATAATAATAATAATAATAATAATAAATACGATTTTTAACGCTACTATTATCTATAAATCTGTTATAATAATTATAATAAATAATTTATGTAATAATAATTATTATTATAAGTATCTGACAAAACATTTTAATTAATTATTAATACTGAGAATTATATAATAAAATATTATTTCTATCACTTATCAAATATATATATAAGTTGTGTGATTATTATCACATTTAATACTATATTATTATTATTATTATTATATTAATGCAAACGTGAATTGATTGATAAATTTTTGTGCTAAAAGTGAATTCAATTGAAAAAGTTATGATAATAACTGTTATACAGATATGACTGCAAATAATAATAATAATAATCTCAGATATAAATTGATGGAAACTATTAAATCATAAGTAGTATCAAACAATTTATTATAGTTTTATTGTTATTATGTGTTTTGTTAGTATGTGTTGTCGTCAAAACTATTGGAGATTTATTTTAAAAAACATTTTTACTAATGTCTGGGAAATTGTTGATTACATACACATACACATACACATACACATACACATACACATACACATACACATACACATACATATACACATACACATACACATACACATACACATACACATACACATACACATACACATACACATACACATACACATACACATACACATACACATACACATACACATACACATACACATACACATACACATACACATACACATACACATACACATACACATACACATACACATACACATACACATACACATACACATACACATACACATACACATACACATACACATACACATACACATACACATACACATACACATACACATACACATACACATACACATACACATACACATACACATACACATACACATACACATACACATACACATACACATACACATACACATACACATACACATACACATACACATACACATACACATACACATACACATACACATACACATACACATACACATACACATACACATACACATACACATACACATACACATACACATACACATACACATACACATACACATACACATACACATACACATACACATACACATACACATACACATACACATACACATACACATACACATACACATACACATACACATACACATACACATACACATACACATACACATACACATACACATACACATACACATACACATACACATACACATACACATACACATACACATACACATACACATACACATACACATACACATACACATACACATACACATACACATACACATACACATACACATACACATACACATACWCATACACATACACATACACATACACATACACATACACATACACATACACATACACATACACATACACATACACATACACACATCAATTGGTGGCACCAATTGAATAGATAAATACAAATGAATGGATCGGATAAATGAATAATTGAATGAACGATACAATACATGAAAACCAATGATGAGATCAATGGTTAGATAGTATCAGATCTTTATATAAAAAATATAATTTTTTTTATTTAAAAAAAAGATATTTTATTTTATTGTTGTTGTTGTTATTGATGATTAATGAACAGTAATTTTTATTATTAATGATATCACCACAAAAAAATTGTATCATTTTTTTGAGGGGGTATACGGTTTGCGGTTTCAAAAAAAAATATTAACAATAAATATAAATAATTAAAATTAAATTTCAAACTAATATTATTTAAGTTTAATATACTGTATATGTAATCCTAAATCATATAATTTTTTTTTTAAAATAATTAATAATAGTATAAATTTTTTTTTTGTGTTTTAAAAGTAATTTTGATAATAATAATATTATTATAATTATTATTTTAAGTTTAGCTATTGTTTTATATAAAGTTATCTAACATTATACACATCAGTAATATTTAATTAATTTTATTTTATACTACTAATAATAATTATTATTATTTTAATAATAGTATAAATTATTACTAGTATTTTAAAAAAATTACTTATTTATGTTTTATATTGTTAGTATTAATAAATATAAATAATAATAATACTAAACTGTTAATATATTAGACATTAGACACATTGTTTTATATATATATATATATATATATATATATCCAAAAAAATAAATGATTATTACATACCATAGTAATAGACAACACATCACAATTGATTGGGCGAAACAATAATAATAATCATAATAATAATCATTATATCTCTAAACAAACAAATAAATAATTTATTTAGTTTTCTAACACCAAAAAAAACAAAACAAAAATTTTATATAAAATTAATGATAAATAATAGAGTCGTCAGACACTTGCAAACAACAAACAAAAAAGTTTTCATCACTTTTTTTTATTGTTGATTATAATGATTATAACAACAACAACAACATTATTATTATTATTATCATCGGTTTGCTTAACCCATACATCGCTACCACAACAACACACTTGTCATCACTTTATTTGAAAATTTAAATACTTTTTTTAAAAATAAATTATATTTTTTTAAAATACAATTTATATTTAACAAAACAAATTATATGCTAAACACTGCTGTTATATATATATATATATATATATATATATATATATTTATCGGATATTTATATTACAATATATTTATAAATTAGCAACAACAAAAAATTTCACTTTAACAAAATTATATAACATTTATTTTTTAAAATATATATAAGTATATTGTATATAAGAAAAAATTATTTATTGCCTAACATTTTATTATTTTTTTTCGTTCAACATATACAACATATATGCAAAAACTTTTTTTTTGTTGTATTTATTTTTTTTTATTTATCGACAAAATTCAGATCTTAAGAGAGAGAGAGAGAGAGAGAGAGAGAGAGAGAGAGAGAGAGAGAGAGAGAAAGTTAGTGAATATTACTTAACGAAAGTTATATATAAAAAAAAAATTCAATTTAAAAATTTGCTTTAAAATTAGTTTTTTTTTGGTTTAATATATATATATATATACTGTATATTATATAATAGTGTAAAAGTGCCTAAAATAAAAAAAAATCAATAAATTCCTTATATATATAACTGTATTTAACGTTAATGTCAAACATATTAACTTAATTTATGCACAATTTTTTTCACTTTACTTGTGTTACTATACCGTTATTTTTTTAACTAAAAAAAATTATTATAATTTTTTTTGTGGGTATATTCTATATATATACTATATATATTCTACAAATATACATAATATATATATATATACAAATATATATACATACTATATATATATATAGTATATATATTTTTGTTTAAAAATATGATAATAAATTTATGGACATTAATAATAATAATAATTCAATGGTATAATAATATATATATATATTATTACTATTTTAAATCATCTATTTTTTCTAATAAAAAAAATAATAAATAGATTTATCATCACTTATATTGTTTTTTTATAAAAAAATAATTTTTAAAAATACAAATTTAATTTTTTGAATAAATTATTTAAATACTTACACCACTAATACTGTAGTTTATACAGTAAATGTGTTAATCATTTTTATTTTATTATTGGCTGACAATAGATAGTGCTGTCTATGCTATTAAAATAAAATATTTAATACTATACTATCATAGTATATACCTTTACAGTACAATATAAATACAAAGTGTATTATTATAATGTAAAAACACATTGCATTTTACAGTTTTCAAAAAATATTTAATTTCAATAAATACTTGAAGTTTAGAAAACTTATTATTATTTATAAAAAAAAATTCTCTAATTATTATTCAAACTTTAAAAAAATAATTAATATAAGTTTTATCATATATTTTCATTGTTGTTGTTGTCTATTAAATATATATATATATATATATATCATATATACTGTATATTAATAATATACTGAAAATAATAGTGAAATTTTTTCAGACAACAAACAAACTAAAACTGATAAAACAAGTTATAAAAAAGCCAATCATATATACACTGTATTATTGTTGTTAGTGTTGTTAATCATAGAAATATATACTAACAAAGTGTGTTTAATATTATATATATATATAATGTATTCAATGTGTTGTACTGTATATTGTATAGTATGTGTCATACTATTAGTTTTATCGCATGAATTACTTTAATAACTCTCTCTCTCTCTCTAACTCTCTCTCTCTCTCTCTCTCTCTAACTCTCTCTCTCTCTCTCTCTCTCTCTCTCTCTCAACAAAACAAAAAAAGTTTCAGTCATTTCATTCATACTATACTTGTGTTGTTTAGTGTGTGTAATGTAGTCATCATATACTGTATATAATAGTCATCAATGAAAAAGTGATTTTAAAAAAAATTATTTTAATAGTTTCATTGTGTGTGTGTCTTAAATAATAATAATATTATTATTTAAATCATGTAATTGTTTGATATTATTATTATTTTCATACGAAAAAATATTTTTGTTTAGTATATATAAATTGTTTGGTGTTTGAAATAAATAGTTTAAATATTTTTTAAATAATAATAATAATGTTATATATTATTATTATTATTTTGAATACCTATTTAACATAATCATTGTGTGTATATATATGTGTGAAACAAATATAATTATGTGAAGTGAAAATGATATATTTTTTTAAAATATTAATTTCAATTATAATAATAACTATTTGGTTGCCAAACACAATGGATATTAATTAAAAAGTTAATTTTAGTTTTTTTAAATCATCAAATGTTTTCAATAACTACAACAAAAATTAGTTGAACTTATATTAGATTTTTTTTATATACAAAATAAAATGTTTGTTATAATAATATTTACATTAATTTTACAATCATTTATACGTCAATCGCAATCACTAACTAATGGTAAGCGATTAGCTATCAATCAATTATTTTTTTTAATGCCATTATTAATATATAAGTAATATTTTATTCAAATAATATTTATAATTATTAAAAAAATATATGTTTTTTGTGATTTATAAAACATTTACATTATATATATATATGCTATTTTATTATGTTTATATTGTAGTTAGCTAGGTAATACAGTATATATAAAAAATATGTATATTTATTATAGCTCATATTAACTGATCCAGATAAAAAAAATGTAGTAAACATAATATAATTATATATACAGTAAAAGTTAATATATAACTATCAACTAAATAAAAAATAAATAATTTTTTTATCTAATTATATATATATATATATTTACACTATATTTTTGTTGTTGATATCATTTAATATCAATATATTATATTTATATAAATTTTATATATACAGTGCACTAGTATTTACTTATTGAAAATATAAAAATTAATTTATCTTATGATATCCAACCCCCCCCCCATCCCTTTCCCTATCCTACCTCCCCCTTAACCATTGATATACCATCTCCTATGGTATGGTATTTAAGAGGCGACTAATTATTAATATATGATATGATATTTGCAAAACCCATAAGCAATCAATTCCGGGAAAAACACATTTTTATTATTAATTTTAGTGTATATACCGGTAGTTATTGCTCTCTCTCTCTCTCACCCCTAGACAACAACAACTAACTAACTGACCCATTGATAGGACAGTCCAGTGTATTATATTATACTAATACTAATAATAAGTTATAATCTCAGATACCATATGACATACCGTATTATTATTATTATATTTCAATGGTATTTCACATTTGAAATATCATATATATTAAACGTATATCATATGTTCAAACTTTAAATACATGTATTTATTAATTTTTCAATGACATTATTGTAAATAAATTTTCATACATTAGTATTAATAATGTATTTGTGTGTTTGTATTGCCATTAAAAGTTTTGTTAACAAATATATAGATATTTATTTAATATATATATATATAAATCAAGACATCCGCTCTCTCTCTCTCTCTCTCTCTCTCTCTCTCTCTCTCTCTCTCTCTCTCTGAAAAACCTAAATAATTTTTGTGTGTATTTTATTTACATTTAATGTCCTAAATATAACCCACATTTTTACTACTAATACTATTATTAATATTAATAATAAAAAGCCAATGTTTTTTTTGGTATTTATATAATACTTGACTATATTTATGATAGGATAGGAAAATCATATTTTTTATTATTTTTATTTATTTTTTATTTTATAATCATTAATATCAAAATCCCACAATAATATGATAACAGGTTATCAAACAATAACAAAAAAATAATAATTGTAGACTTAAAATAAAAAATTTCATATATATTATTAATTTACAGTAATTATAATTAGTATAGATTTTTAAAAAAAAGATATTTAATATTATATTTTCATAATAATAATAATTATTATTATTTTATCTCATTTTTCTTTAGTATATGTTATGATGACTAACAAGTATTGTCTGTTTGAAATAAAAGTTGATTTAAAAAACATTTAAAAAAATAAAATAAATTATATATATATTTGAATCGCAGCTAAAATATGTAATAATTCAATACTAGAAAAACCATAAAAAAATATATACATTAATACTATATATATATACATTAAATATTAAAATTTATTTAGTGGGCTTCAAATTACTAATGATATTTTGATTTTTGCAATATATATATATATATATATATTAATAAATTATATACTTATATATATATGTTAATGAATTTTTTTCTATGAATTTATACATAATATTAATACTAAAAAATATAATATATATAAAAATGTGAAATTTGTTTGACAAGTACATTGAAAATTGTATTTAATTATTTTATTTTTATTTTTTTTGTTGCTAAAAAATAGTTATGTAATGATCAAATATGTCATTAATATATATATATATATAATTTTATCGTTTTATTTTTTAAAAAATAAATTTTATTACCTAATACTGTAGGTATTTACTGGTTATTTAGTTAACAAACAAAAAATTTCTGGTAAATCACGATTGATTTAAACAATTTTAGTTATATATACTGTATATGAAATTATTATTTAATTTTTTTTCTACATTAATAGAGTATTGAAAGTTATAATTTCAATAAAATACCAAAAAAAACTAATTTTTTTCATTATTATTGTCAAAGTTTTTATACCTAAATTTAATTAATTAATAGAAATTTTTTTGACATTGATTTTAATGAATTTTGACAATTTTTTTTTTGTAACATTTTATATATAAATATAATATATAAATATTTGTCATATTTGTCGATAATTTAATTATTTTTTTTAATACAATATTATTAATATTAGTACAATATTTTGTGTCTTATTTCGGATGACATTCAATGAGAAACAAAACCAAAACCACAAAAAAAAAACTTTTTGAATGTAATTTTTTTAATACATACAGTATATAAATAATAAATTTAATAAAATAATAACACAAAAAATAAGTTTTTTTTATATATTTATAGACTAAAAAACAAAATGATCTTTAAATCTGTCGACTATTTAGTTATGAAACAAAAAAAATGATTGAACTAATGGGTGGAGACATTATATTTTTAAGACACACTGTACTTATCAATGCATTTATATATAATAAATAAGTTATAAAATAATAATATTATTTGAATAGTAAACATGATTTTCAATACACATATCAAAAAAATTAATATTTAATTTTATTTCTTTTATAATAATATTATTATTTTTTTTCTCAAATGTATTACTACTCCTCCCCATTGATTACCAAAAAAATAAATAAATATTATTTATAGAAAAAAACTTTTAAAATATAATAATTAATTTATAATAAATTATTTATATATTAATTATTTTTTATTTAATTTTAATTAATAGATAATTTAATTCAAATCAAACCACTGCCGTATGAGCCGCGCATATATGTCGGCGCAGAGTCGGGCGTCAAAGTGGTCACCATTGAGGCCACTATCGGCTACAATGATAATGATGATGACTACCGACACTTGCATACAATTACCGATAATAATAATAATAATAATAATAATAATAATATTGAATATCAAGTATTACCTACTGATGATTATCAGTATTTTAAAATCGATAAAATTAGCGGACAATTGGCCACTAATCGGCCAATTGATAAACAAGTGGATCAAACATATTATGTAAGTTATTTTTTTAACTTAAATTTTATTTGTATTACATATTATTTATAGTTATTTTAGTTATATTTCTAAAAAAAATAATTTTCAATTACCTAATAGAGGAATGATATAAAAAAAAAATTTATATTAGTTTTTTAAATAAATAAATAAATAGACTATTTTTAACAATACAAATACTATAGTAGTTTTTTTTATTAATATTATATTTATTTATTTTTATTATTAATACATGGATTACACATTAATGTGAAATATATTGAATATATTTATAATAGTATTAGTAGTAATAATAATAAAAATAATAAAACACTTGACGTATAGTTAATATCACATATTTTTTTCGGGGTTTTTTTATTATTAAAAATAAATTTTTTATTTATATAATTGAGTTATATATAAATATATAAAATATATATATATTTGTTATATAAATATTTTTAGCATATATACAAAAATAATTTTTTAAATAAATTACACTTGAATTTGAAAAATCAAAAATATTATTTTATAACATAACTATAGATTTTTAAAACTATACATTTAAAAATAGCATAATATATATATATATATATATTATAAATATATTATAACCCTAAAGTAAATAATTATATTAAACTTTTGTGATGAAAAAAAAAACAATTCATGCATAAAATTTTTCAGTGTATATATATATTTATGTAAAAATTTTTGCCATTAATTTAAATTGATAGCTTATTGTTGTGTGTGTTTTTAAAAATATAATTAATATTAATTGAATGTCAAGTACACACAAAAATTTATATATATATATAACCAAAAATAAAAAGTTAATGATTTAGCAATTTAAGCCAAAAATTTGTTTATTTTAAAAGTAAAAATCAATTGAAATATACAGTATATTTAGTTAAGTATAGTATAAATATGGGGTTTTTAGTGTTAAAATTAAATTTTTTGTTAATCTAAGCATATCTATGATATCACTGTTTTTTTTTGTTATTTTGTTATATATATATATAGATATAAATCTTAATTATATAAACACTTAACACATGATATTTATATTATAATTATCTAATTAATTACAAATAGATTAAAATAATAGTATAATTTATTTTTTACTAAAACAAACAATTATTTTTAAATAAAAATATATATATAATTTATTTTCTAATTATTTATATAATTATCCTTTAATTAATATAGCTATTATAATCGTATAAATTTTTTAAAAATTAATTAATTTATATATTTATTTATTTTAACGACTCGTATACTTTATATTTAAAAATTGAAGAAAATTTATTATTCAAACAAAAATTATAACAAACAAAAAATACAAAATACTTATAATTTTAAACAAATTAATTATTACTATTATTTTTGAAAAACAAATAATTATTAAATTGATTTTAATTATTATTTAAAGATAACCGTAAAGGCGGTCATTATCGGGGACAGTGGTGTTGAGGCCAAACAAAACATATGGATAATAGTTAGCAGTTATAATAGATTTAATCCGATATTTTCATCAAACGACTATATGAATTGTATACACAATCTGTCACCAATTGGTACCAAATTGTTGGAAGTGATGGCTACCGATGCCGATATCGAGACCTATAATTCACGTATTTTGTATACAATTAAACCATCACAACAGCAACAGCTAGTGATGCCGTTTTTCATTGATCCGGATACCGGTGTTATCATAACAAATGATACCTTGTTTGATAGGCATGTGTTTAGCTATGAGTTTGATATAGTGGCCACCGATACGGGTTCACCGCAAGGATCGGATACTACCAGAGCTCGGATTACATTTTACAATCGTATAGCAGGTATGTGTATATACTATACCGGGAAATTACCGGTAGTTTTCTGGGTATTATTTAATTATACATATTTTCAAAAGCGCCAACCATTTTGTCGATTGATTTCCGAAATTTTCAGACAAGAATCTGCTGGCAATTGACTGATTTGCAGCAAATCGATGGCTATATTATAGCTTATAAATCGGTAGTCAAAGATCTGGTCAGCGGTAGTGGTGGTCATCATCATCAGCAGCCGATGCCGTCATCATCACCACTGTCCACATCCACTGTCAATGTTACGGCCAATCAGTCAACAACAAAGTAAATGATTAAAATTATTTAATTTTTCTTTTAATTACTATTTATATATATATTTTAATAAAAATAATTATAATATAAAAATAATATTTTATTTTATATAATAACAATTGTTTCAAATAGTTTAATATATATTTATATAAGTATATATATATATATATATATATATATATATATATATATATATATATTCAATTATATCTCAAGTGTTATTTCCTGTTATCAAAAAATTAAATAATTATAATGCAATTGATTATATAATTGAAATTTTTTTGTTGATATAAACAAATAGTTTTACAGTACTTTAATAATGATGATAATAATAATATAAGTAATTTCAAGCATTATCAAAATAGATTTATGATTAGTTAGTTTTTTATCACTATATATATATAGTAATTAAACATTAAATAATTATGTAATTGAAAACATTTAATTACTTAATTAAATTAAGTAATATATATAGTATTTAAATTTATATATATATTTAATACGGTATACCTCCAACCCCCACCCCCTCCTACAGGTCGGCCAAACAATGCTATAATTTTTCAATAGCCCAAATCCAGCCAACAATCAACTATGCCTTTACCGTTAGTGCATGGGTTGGCCAAGAGGTTGGTCCACGTAGTGATGTACACTATTTTAAGCCAAAATACAGTCAACCGCAAGGTATCGCCAATTGCACCTGTAGTCACCAGAGCGGATCCGGACCGTGTGTATGCTCTCACGGTATACTCGGTGTCTATTTGGATGATAACTGTCCGCTCAATTGTCAAAACGGCGGCACCTGTATTATCCGTACGGATGGCCGGCCCTGGTGTCTGTGTAGGCACGCCTACTATGGAAAACTATGCGGCTATACAAGTAAATTGCATACATGTGCTCGAAATATGATTATATAATTAACTGTGTTTGTTTATTACCTCTCCCCCTCTAGAGGTATGTCCATCGACTAGTACACCAACAGTCCGAAAGGGTATATTTGAATGGCCAGAAACCAGAGCCAATCAAACCCGTCGGATACGGTGTCCGTACGATCACTTATGGGACAGTCGACTGAGACTGGCCAACACAAATCGTATGGCCAGTCGACCGTGTATTCTACATCATAACGGGACTACCGAATGGGGTACAGTTGACGATCACGACTGTCCACAACAACAACAGGTATTTCCCCYCCCCCCACCAKTATTACCAGTACCTAAAATAAATCACTGTTTTGTTAATAACCTAATTGTTTGCCTAATAAATTAGATGATACCGACACCTAATGCCCAATTGATGACCACTTCATATTCAATAATTGATTTACAAGATATAGATAAAGTCAGATCATTGATCAACAATCAAAATAATAATAATAATACCGGTTATAATTATAATAATAATAATAATTTCAATGAGCAAGATCGTCTAATTGAAATGGTTGATAATTTTGTTGGCGATTATCATTATAGTAATAATAATAATAATAATCCTAATAATAATAATAATACCATCAATTATGACATGTATGACAGTATAAAATCAAACATTTAGTTTATATTTTAAATTTATAATATTTTTTTATTTAATACACAATAGACTTAATATAGCGACTAATATAATGGACACAATACCCGTGGATCAGGACTACGAGTTTCATCGAAACTATAAAAACATTGCAATTAAGACAACGGTCGTATCTGTTAGATCGATAGCTACCGATACCGCTAATGATAACTTAGGTGATAATCAATTACCCGATACTACAGGGGGTATCAAACCGATAGTATTTGAACCAAAATTTCTGGACAATAATCAATTCAACAACAATCATATTAAATCATCGGTAAATATATATTGTTATATAAAGTAATTATAGTTTATAGATATTATATTTTCTAATTTACTAATTTTATAAATAATTTTTTGTTAGCTAGCTTATTTTTAGTTTTTAGTACTAAATTCATTAAATTATAATCTAGATCTATTATTAATAGTAAACTAGTTACTAAAAAAAATAATCACTAATTAGTGATTATTGAAAACCTATTATTTTAGTTAATTAGTTAAATATATTTTTTTTAAAAACAGTCTAATTGAGTTATTAGGTATTATTATTATTATTATTATTAGATTTTAATATATAGATAGATATATATATAGATTTTTTAAATGTAAAAAAATGTTATAATAATTTTCCAATCAATCAGATACGGGTGCCGATTGAAGCCCTACATCAGGCATCCAAACAGATGATGCAATCGGGTGGTGGCGGCGGCGGTGATATTCGGGTCAATTTTGTGGCCCTAAAAAGTCGTGACCTGTTTATCAATGACACCACTACCAGTCCATCCGATAGGACAACAATATCAATGCCGGTAATCGAGGCCAACGTAGTCAACGCTACGATCAGCCAATTGCAGACACCGGTCACTATAGTCATCGAGTGTCCACATTGTCGACCAGTAGACTATCAGAAAGCCCAGTGTGTCTATTGGGATCAGTTGGCCAGAAATTGGTCCTCACGCGGGATGACTACGGAAATTAGTCACCAAAACAAGTCTATTATCTGTTTATCAACACATTTGACCGCATTTTCCGTATTATTTGATTTGACACCCGATGATAATGATATGGATGACCCCCAACAGCAACAACATGCCCTACTATTGTCGATAATTACAATAGTCGGGTGCTATCTATCTATTTGTGGACTAGTTTTAACATTATTAACATATCTATTATTTAGGTAATTATATCAATTAATTATAGTTTAATATATAGTATTTACTAATTTCAAACTTACCCAGGACACTCATTTTTTTGTTTTAATCAACTATATATAGTTTAAAGTTATTAATTTTTATAAATAATTTTTTGTTAGCTAGCTTATTTTTAGTATTATTTCATAAATTATAATCTAGATCTATTTAATAGTAAACTAGTTATTTAAAAAAATTATTAAATTTAGTGATTAAAAACCTATTATTAGTTAATTAGTTAAATACAGTATATTTTTTTAAAGTCCAATTGAGTTATTAGGTATTATTATTAGATTTTTAGACTCATATTCAATATACTATATATGAATATCAATATAACATATTATGTTATACATATGTATATTAATTAATTAAAACAAATATATATATATATATTCAATCAATTTAGTTAATTAATATCAATTTACTTAACATATCATCTCATTTGTTATTAATATTATTATTGATATTATTATTAATTGATTAAAACAAATATATATATATATTAATCAATTTAGTTAATTAATATCAATTTACTTAACATGTCATCTCATTTATTATTATTATTGATATTAATATAATTATTATTATTATTATTATTCATCCAATCAATTGATAATATCATCAATAGATGTCTAAATCGTGACAATTCTGGCAAAATTCTGGTCAATCTATGTCTATCTCTACTACTATTGAACGTATCGTTTTTGATGTCATCCCAGGATTATGTAATCCAATCACAGAAATGGTGTCTATTGATGGCATTCAGCATACATTTACTGGTATTGACATCCCTGGCCTGGATGTGTGTCGAAGCCATACATATCTATCAGCTACTCATCTATGTGTTTGCAACTGCGGAAAAACATTTTATGCTTAAACGGACAGCCATTGCATGGGGTAATTGGATATACTGTATATATATATATATATATATATATATATAATATTTTTGTTTTATTTAAGTTTTATAATAAGTTTAAAAATTAAATTATTATTATAATATTTATAATTTTAATATTAAGGGTATAGCATGGGTGGTATACTGTAATTAACAAAAATTTTGAAGTATATGATAAAAAATAGTTAATAGTTATATATTAAAAAACAAATTAATTTACTTTAACATAGACTATAATATACTAGTATAATATAATTATAGTTTATTATGTATTTTCTAATTTCAAACTCACCCAGGGACACTCAAATTTTGATCCAATTAAATATAGTTTAAATTACTAATTTTATAAATAATCTTTTTTTTAGCTAGCTTATTTTTTAGTTTTTAGTACTGTATTTCATAAATTGTAATCTAGATCTATGTGTAATAGTAAACTAGTTATTAATAAATATATATATATATTATTAATTATTATTATTATTATGCTAATTATGGTTAACCACACAAAAATTATTTACACATTTTTAAACATTTTTTAAACATTTTACAGTTTTTAAAAAAATTATTACTATTTATAGAAATTATTTATAACAATAATAATATTTTATCCATTTATTCAAATAGGAGTACCATTACTATGGGTTATGATTACGGCATTTATCCGAACCAATGCCTATAGTAATCGCATAGATTTGTAAGTTATTTATATTTATTTATATATATATTTTTTAAATAATAATAATTGAAAACTTTGTAAAACTAAAATGTTTTGTTTTTTTCACCCAAAAAAAAATAATAAAATTAATAAATATTTTTATTTTTTTCATACTATTAGTTGTATGATATCACCGAAACACAGTAGTGATGTCTACTATATAGCCTACTTGATGCCGGTGTCCATATTGATTATCATCAATACCTCGGTATTTGTATTGGCCATTCGGGTATTGTTTGCACCGAGAATGGCCACTACGGCTACGGCCGTCAAATCAGGTTAGTTAGTTAATTAGTTAGTTAGTTAGTTAGTTAGTTAGTTAGTTAGTTAATTAGTTAATTAGTTAGTTAGTTAGTTAGTTAGTTAGTTAGTTAATTAGTTAGTTAGTTAGTTAGCTAGTTAATTAGTTAGTTAGTTAGTTAGTTATTTAGCTAGTTTATTAGTTAGTTAATTAGTTAGTTAGTTAGTTAGTTAGTTAGTTAGTTAGTTAGTTAGTTAGTTAGTTAGTTAATTAGTTAGTTAGTTAGTTAGTTAGTTAGTTAATTAGTTAGTTAATTAATTAATTAGTTAGTTAGTTAGTTAATTAGTTAAGTAGTTAGCTAGTTAAACCATTCACAAATATCAATATTTATATACTAAAACCTACCCGTTCCCCCCTTTAAATGATAGGACAATCATCATCGTCATCAACGATAACCATGTCACAGGTATGGGGAGCTATGACACTGATGGCCCTGTTAGGTGTCTCATGGATATTCGGTGCACTGGCTATCGGTCCATTCAAACTGTATTTCCAGTACATATTCTGTATAACCAATTCATTGCAAGGTTTCCTAATATTCGTGTTTCGGGTTATCCGATACCCGGAAGCCCGCAATGCTTGGCTACAGTTGTTCACATCGGGAACCTTCAAAAAGTATAGAGGTATGTGTGTGTGTCGGGGGTAGGGGTGGGCCATATGTATGATAACTACCGGTAATTAATTAATTTTGTATAACTTTTTTTTTGTTGGTATTATTAGGTCAGAGACAGCGTATCTATGGATCAAATGCAACCAATAGACTGAGCGCTAGCGATAGAAAACCAATGGAAACGGACAGTTCATATTCAACGACATACCATTCCTCAGCAGCGGCTGATCAGTCAAAGACAACAACAGCGACAGCTATAACCAAACCCTTTCTAAGTAATAGTAGTATTGAGGGCTCGGATGTCAAACATTTTACTACTTATGACTCTATACGAGGCATTTCTGATTAAATTTTTTGTTTCATTTCATTATTATTATTATTATTATTAGTTTTTTTGTGTTTCATCTATAAAATAATCTCAATTATGATAATCTGATTATTTATTACTAGTAGTAGTAGTAGTAGTAGTACTACTACTACTACTACAGTATAGTTCATAAATGTATTTACTATTACTTAAAGTAATCACCAAAAAAAAATAATATTATTATTAATATTATTATTGATATTGTAATTATATGTATGTTTATAGTATAATAGTGTACATTGTATTGTAATAATCTTATTGATTATATTGAATATTATTATTATAAATAACTTTTACTATATTAACTTATATATATATAATAAATTTTATTATACATTAGTATATTATATATATATATATATATATATTAGGAAATATCTCATTTTACTTAAATATTGTATTTATTAAAAAAATATATATATATTTTAATTAATTTTATTTATGTGTATATTTAACGACAACAAAATATTGATACTAATAAATAAATAAAATTATATAATTTATTATTATATTTTTGTGACAATTAATAATAAACAAAACTTTTTTTTTTAAAAAAAAGTTTATGTTAAAAATATTTATACCAAAAAAAAATCATAATAACATATGTAAAACAGCTATATTTTTCAAAAAAAATATTATTTATGTATATATATATATAAAATTTTGTATTATTTTAAATAATAATATTTATAATAATTATAATGTTTATCTAAGTGTTTAATAATTAATGGCACCACAGTTTCCGGCAATAATAATAATAATAAACATTTTTAAATAACTTAAAAATAATTATTAATGTTATCATTATTATTATATATTTCCTTATAGTTTATTTTGATGTTTGAGAGAAAAAACATTAACCAAATAATAATAATAATCATAAAAACTTTTAAGTAAAAAATTTAAATAATATTCATGAAAAATTTAATATCATTACTAATGTACTAAAAAATATTACAGTAAAATACAAATTGTTTGCCAATGAAAACTAAAATCTAATATTTATATACATATATATATATTTGTTTTTTAATATTAATGATGTTATACAGTATATATATATATATATATATATATATATATATATATATATATATAAAGTACAGGTAAATAACATATGTAAATAACAAGTAGTAAAGTGGTTATGAATTTTAAATGTTATGTAATATAAATGTAATATACAGTATATATATATATGTATATATAAAATGTAATTTTCACATTTATATGCAATCTATTTTAACAATCGTGAATAATAACACAACACCACTAAATTATATATATATATATATACATTATTAATAAATATTTCATGATTTTATGTGTGTTTATCTAATATGAAAACTACAATTTATTATTATTATTATTATAAGTTTTTTGATGTCCACAACAAATTTGAATCACTTATTATTTTTTTTTTTGGTAACAACTGTTGAAACACACATAATATACACATATATAATATATACACATATAATATATACACACATAATATATATACACATATATAATTATACACAAATATGATAATTATATTACATAATACAGTATACCCCTGTATTAATAGTGTGTATATATATTAATGATTTTTGATTGCCACTATATATAATATATCATATATATATATATATATACATAAGTTATATAAACTATTTATATACTGTATAATCTATATATATATTCACGATTGATAATTTTTTTTTATGATTAGATTTTATATTAGATATTAGATATTAATTTTGTTGTTGTTGGTTATCACATTATATGTAATATCATAGATATTATCATAATATTATTATAGCATTATGTAGTGTAAAATTTTATTATTATAAATTTAAATTACATCAATAAATTAAATTATACTGCTATTTGATTGCGTATTTAGTTATCGTTTTTTATTTTACTAATTTTAATAATTATTTTTATGATTATTATTAAAATACGGGACCACATGTGCAGTCATATTGGCATTTATTATGTATATATATATACTATAAATATACAGTATATAAATATAAATTATATTATATGCACCACAAAAATGCACAATTTATGTGTTATAAATTAAATGTATACAAAAAAACATACAGTATATGAATATTGTGTTAATTTATTAAATTTATATATTTTTTTGGGTACTGTATATTGAATTAATTAATATATAGTATAATAGATTATAGAGTAATATATTATAGAGTATAGTGACCAATACATATGTTTATATTAATTACATATATATATATATTTAAAAATGTTATATATATTTAATTACACTATAATAATAGGATAAATTTATATTTATTAAAAAAATAAATTTTCAAAAAAATTACATGATAAAATTTAACATTATTGTAATTTATAAAAATTGATCATGATCAGTGTAAACTATTTTTTGTAATTTTAATATTTAAAAAAAAATATTATTTGGTAACCATATTATTAATTTAATCGATAATAATATTATAATACTAGTGGTATTTATTCCCCACTATTAGTATTATTATTATTATCTAACCCTACCTTATAATCTCATTATTATTATTATTATATTTAAAAATTTATTATTATCTGCTATTTATGTATTAGTAGTTAATGTAGTGGGCCCTCAACGAAAAAAAAATAATTATGTATATTAATCTAACTATATATATATACACTGTTAATAAACTAATAAATTGATGATTTAGAGAGAGAGAGAGAGAGAGAGAGAGAGAGAGAGAGAGAGAGAGAGAAGAGAGAAAAGTGAATGAACTGCAAAAAAATCAATCAAATAATTATTATTTATATTTTTGTTTTTGTATTTTTTTTATAATATAAATATCGACCCATTTATTTAAAATTAATTTAAATTTTTGTTTTATAAACTCTCCCCAAATGAGATTCAATTGGTATTATTATTATTATTATTATTAGTTTAATACTAAACTATACCACAACTTGTTATTTTAATAATTTTTTTTAAATAAATTATATTTAACTTTTAAAATTATATATAATTTTTTTTTTTAAGCGAAAGTGTATGTTATATACAGTATATTTTTTTTAAATGATAACAATTTTATTTTTTCAAACAAATTCATAATTAATTTTCAATTTTTATTATTTATTTTTTAAAAATTGTTTGAACACAAATGATTAGCCACAACAACAAAAAAAGTTAATCGATATATAATTGACTAAATAATTAATTATTATTATCATTAAATTAAAAAATTTATTATTTTTTTATTATTATTATACTGTATATGCAAACTATTTTTTGTTATTATTTATAAATAAATAAAATAATAACTATTAAAAATGCTAGACCACCAAAGATATAATAATGATTATTTTTTTAATTTATTATTTTTTAAAAATAATAATAATAAGTAATAAAAACATTATAAATATAAAACATTAGTTTTAATGAATAATTTTTAAAATATTTTATTTATTTATAGTTATAAAACATTTTAATGTAATTTTTTTTGTTTAAAGCATAACATAACATTTTATATATATATATATATATATATTCATATAGCATTTAATAGTTATAATAATAGTTAACAAAATAAAATATATAGTATTATATTTTATTGTTTTTTTTTGTTTTGTTTTGTTTAAGTAAATGTATTTAAACAAGCATTACATTTAAATAACAATAATATTAACCACAAAATTATAATAATTGTTGTTTTATTGTTTATATAATGTACAGAATATTTAATAACTTCCTTAATATATATATTTTATTATAATATAATATATTTTTATAATTATTAAAACTATTATATAATAGTTTACTCTTGAATTTTATTGTTTTTGAATATAACTTTATAATATAAACTATTAACTACTGTTTATATATATTAATATATTATTATATATATGTATATAAAATACAGTACAATAAACTACAAACAATAATATTGTTTTAATACATAGAAATTAAAATCCAAAAAAATAATAATATATTCAACTATTAAATGCAACAATAATTTATTGATAAACAAAACAAAAATAAAAGTTTTTTTTTAAATTATCAAAATTTAATGATGAATGTGTTAAATGATTATTAGTATTATAATTAATAATAATATTTTAGTATAATTAATAAAAATGTCGATTATTAACTAAACTATTATAAACTAAATTAGCGACACAATAGTACAGTACTTACTAATTATATATCATTGATAAATATAATGATAAAATATTATTATTACAGTATATAATACTATTAAAAAAAATTACTATACACAGCAAATATATGTTAATATATTAATATATATTATCTCATAAATTATATCAAATGTGATTTACTATATCATATATATTTTGTATTAATAATTAAATTATGTAATAATTATGTCACAATGTGTTTTAATTGTTGTCATACGAGTTTTTTGTAATTGATGACCTGAAATTAAAAAAACACACATATATATATACTGTATATATATATATATATATAAATATATGTATATAAATTAAATATAGTATAGTATGTAACAAAAAAAAAACATTATTTAATTAATTTAAATCACTAATTTAAAATCACATAATAATAATAATAATAACAAACTCAGTAACGATATATAATAATAATAATAATCTAATATAATTATTATTATAAAAAAAAATTTAATACATCAATAAATAATAACTAATTAGTATTACAATACATATTAATGATATTATAAAAATCATTAAATTATATATTGTCTCTAAAAAAAATGTATTGTATTAGCAAAAAAAAATTTGTATCATTTTATTATCAAAATATTATTATTTTTATTATTATTATATAATAGATAATAATAATATACATGTTAATAAAATTAACAATTAAATATATATCTCGTGACGTAGTATTAGTGACAAAGTCACAGAAATTGAATGGTCGCTAACTGCGTAAACTGTGACTTTGTCACAGAATCATGTGACCAAAATCAAATTCATATTAACCAATCAAAATTAATTTAATTGTTTAACCGTTTAATTGTTAGTACAGTGTGTGACTTGATATACTGATCAATTAACGTAATATTATTAAATATATAAAATTGTATATAAAGAAGTTGAGAAATTAATCCAATTATCATCAAATGGTAAAAATAGCTGAAGAAGTTGAGGAATTGATCCAATTATCATCAAATGGTAAAAATAGCTGAAGAAGTTGAGGAATTGATCCAATTATCATCAAATGGTAAAAATAGCTGAAGATGTTGAGGAATTGATCCAATTATCATCAAATGGTAAAAATAGCTGAAGAAGTTGAGGAATTGATCCAATTATCATCAAATGGTAAAAATAGCTGAAGAAGTAGAGGAATTGATCCAATTATCATCAAATGGTAAAAATAGCTGAAGATGTTGAGGAATAGATCCAATTATCATCAAATGGTAAAAATAGCTGAAGATGTTGAGGAATAGGTCCAAAACATTGAATTAACTTTATAAAAGTTTTGTAAATTAAGTTATTACTAAAGTTATTTAAGAATTGATTGTATTTTTATGTCATTCGACATGTCTGACAATCAACAAATGCATAAGTCATCGTTGTCCTTATCAATCGATTAATTCTGCTGTTTAAATGATAATTACCATTTAAATGTTAATAATTCAACTTTTATTAATTAATATTAAAATGATGATTTACTAAACCAGTTACTACAAATACAATCTATAATAACTGGACAATCAATTAGTACAGATTTAACGCCATCACTCAAAACATGTCATTAACTTCTTCAGTTGTTTTTACCATTTGATAACTATACTTATTCCTCAGCTTCTTCAGCTATTTTTACCATTTGATAACTATTACTATTCCTCAACTTCTTAAGCTATTTTTACCATTTGATGATAATTGGATCTATTCCTCAACTTCTTAAGGTATTTTTACCATTTGATGATAATGGGATCTATTCCTCAACTTCTTAAGGCATTTTTACCATTTGATGATAATTGGATCTATTCCTCAACTTCTTAAGGTATTTTTACCATTTGATGATAATGGGATCTATTCCTCAACTTCTTAAGGTATTTTTACCATTTAATGATAATTGGATCTATTCCTCAACTTCTTAAGGTATTTTTACCTTTTAATGATAATTGGATCTATTCCTCAACTTCTTAAGGTATTTTTACCATTTGATGATAATGGGATCTATTCCTCAACTTCTTAAGCTATTTTTACCATTTGATTATAATTAGATATTTAAATTTATAAATTATTTTTTTAGTCACATTATTTTTTGTACACACTGTACATTATATCAATAACAATGAAAATTAGAACTCTATTTTGATTGGTTAATGAACGCGCGTGAATAACCACTGGTCAACAATTCGAACACTTAGCTTAAGTCTAATGTATTATTTTTAAACACTTAGGAGATATATATATATCAGGGTTAAGTAAGGGGGGGGGGGGTAGGGGGGGTAAGGCCAAAATACCCCCCCCTAAGATCGAGAAATTGGGATTTTACCCCCCCCAGACTTTTTGACCAAATGGGAAAAATTGTCGCTTAAAAACGAGGAGAAATGACCCCCCCTAAAATTTCGGCGCCGAAGGCGCCGAAAATTTTTTTGAGATTTATAAAAATTTTAATTTTAGTTAATACTATTTTAGTAAGTGTTTTTATGTTTTTAAAATTTATATGATTCTAATTATTGATTAAAAATAAGTAAAAAAGTTAAAATAACGTTAAAACTCATCAAAAAATAACATAATTTTACTTAAAATATTAAACTAAAAAGTTAAAAAATACCAATTTGTTGAAAAGAATAATCATATTACAATATAAATAGAAGTTTGAGATAGTTTAAGAAGTTAATAAAAAAATAAATACTTATATTACAAGGTTTTTATTAATAATTTTTAAAATTTTAACTAAAAAATTTAAAATATTTTTAATTTTATAATTAGTATTCAATCAGTATTTACATAAAAATAACATTAAAAAATAAAAATATATATCTATAAACTATAAGCATTAAGTATTATTTAAAAAATTATTTTAAAAGTTAAAAATTACTAAAATACTAAAAAACTCAGTGTATCATTAATGCCTTTATCACCTATTTTTAAGTATTTAATACATTATTATTTTATTTTTTGCTAAAATTTAAGTTTTTATTAATTTTTAAAATTTTTTTTTAAAAATATTTATTTTTGTTAAAATTTAACTTTTTTTTATTTTTGTTAAAGTTTTTTTTAGTATTTTTGTAAATTTTACCTATTTTCCTGGGAATTTATACGGGAACTTATGGGAATTTTATCGAATTTACATGGGAATATTCGGGAATTTAAGGGAATATTAGGGAATTTTCTCTTGACCCCCCCCCCCCCCTTGATTTTGGATTTTTGAAAAAATTGCCGTTTAAAAATGCAATAAAAATCTTACCCCACCCAATACCCCCCCCAAGATTTTTCGAGAATTTTGTAAATTTTACCCCGGTCTACCCCCCCCTAAAATCCAAAACCTTGCTTAACCCTGATATATATATATACTGTATATAATCACTTATTATATAAATTAGATAATAATTAATAGATAATTGAATAATTGGAAACAAAACAAAACAAATTATACAAATAAAAAAAATTATTATATATTTTTAAATTTTTTAAAAATACTTACAATTAGGTGGTAGTCGACTACTAATACTATTACCACTACTACTACAAGCAATTGCTTGACTAAAACGACACCTTATTATACAATATAATGAATGTCTAAAATTATAATTAAATCCGCCATAAATTATGGGATTAATTGCCGACGAGCCGTATGCTATAAAATGCGATATATAGGACAGCCATGAAAACCATTTGGGTAACTGTTCCCCACGGGATAGAGAGATCCAGGGATAGACACAAATAAAAATTATATATATATAAATAAAATATAAAATAAATTATAACAGTATCTAATAGTTACTATTAATAATAAATTTTTTTTTTATTTAAAAAAATCTAAAAATTTATTATTCAGTATAACTGTATTATAAACAATCACTTTTTTTTTGTTGTTAACAAAATTGTTTTTCTACCAGTTTTTATTATTATTAATTTTTTTTAATAATAACATTTACGACACACATACACACATATACACACATACACACACACACACACACATACAAACACACACATACACACATATACACACATATACACACATATACACACATATACACACATAGACACACACATACATACACATATAGACACATATAGACGCATATAGACACAAATAGACACACATACACACACATACACACACATACACACACATACACACACATACACACACATACACACACATACACACACATACACACACATACACACACATACACACACATACACACACATACACACACATACACACACATACACACACATACACACACATACACACACATACACACACATACACATATAAATACTACTAATATATTATATATTATTTATAATACATGTATATTTATATATATAGTTTAGGATTTAACTACTACTACTAAAAGTTTCCAAAAAAAATAATAGTAATAATAATAATAACTTATTAACTATTGATAGATACTGTACTAATAGATACAACAATTTATTTGTTTTTTAATTTATCAAAAAAAACATACCTCTCCTGAATCATGGGATGAATGTCCAAACTGTGAATAGAGTACAATGAGCTGTAGGGGCATCCAGGATATGACAAATACAATGAGTACCAGACATGACATTTTGATAACCTAATTATTATTATTATTTTTTTATGGAGGGGTAGGCAAGGGTGAAATAATTAATTTTTAAAAAATCATTAACAATTTAATTAGCATTATCAAATATTAGTATTTTAGCATTAATTACTATAATACTGTATATATCTATCATATATTTATGATTATATCAATATATATAAATTATAATATATTTATGGATATGTTTCAAAAAAATTTGTCTTAAAAAATGTGTTTGTTATTAAAAAAAATTAATTTATGATTAATACATGTATTTTAAAAATATTTTAAAAACTATTTATACTAAATATATACATATTTTTTTTAATTTATAAATTATTTGAATTATTATTATTTTTTCAAAATTTAGTTATTATTACTACAATATTATTGAAATCAACTATTGTTATCAAATATTTTATAATAATTAAATTTTATAGTAAATAATATAGTTATAGTAACTTATATAACTCTACATAATTTAAATTGTATTAAAATTATTTAATTTTAATAATAATAAAAATAATTAATTTTCTCATTTATTTATATAAATTTTTTTTTGAAAAATATATTAATAATTATTAACAAAAAAAGTTATTATTAATTAATAATAATAATTATTATTAGTTTTCTTACTCTCTTTTTGGACGCCATTTGACGGGAATACTGGCGCTTAGTTAGACAATCGCCGGGTACGACACGTTGCCATAGTTTTTTGACAATCAACGAATAGGCGGTCAACATTACGAGGACAGGTAGGAAAAACATTATGACCGTAACCAACAAATAGTATAGTTTTTTGTAGGTATTCAATGTAACGCACTGTTGTCGCTGGGGGCTCCAGTAGCGAGGGGTTGGCCAGGTTTCCATACATCGACTTTCGGTAAAATCATGCCACTGTGTGTTGGGTCAGTTAGGTTTTTTTTTAGGTGGGTGTCAATCAGTATTAAGATAGCGTATACAATGTAATGGGGATAGTAATCAGGTTATAGACACAGGTAATTGAGTATTAATTAAATATGATATTAAATATTCAAGTAAACTATACATATAATCAATTTTTTAAAAAATGACCATGGACCAAAAATTGTAGATAATATTAAACTACTCAACATTATTGTTTTTTGATTAAAATGTAAAATTAACTAGATGATAAGTCAACTATAATATAGTATATGTATTCCACTCATTAGTTTATATAAAAATATCTGATTAACAATTCAAATACAATTTAAAAAATTACCAAGGTGATATAATTATAGATAATATTAAACTTAACATTATTGTCCATGGTCATTTTTTGATTAATTGTACATACATACATACAATCAATTTTTTAAAAATGACCATGGACAAAAATTGTAGATAATATTAAACTACTCAACATTATCGTCAATTGATTATTTATTAATTTTTTGATTAATTATAAAATTAACTAGATAATAGTTTGATAATAGTCTACTATTTTAAGTCAATACTATTATCAATAGTTAATTTTTTACAATTAATCAAAAAAATGACCAATTACAATAATGTTAAGTTTAATATTATCTATAATTATATCACCTTGGTAATTTTTTAAAAATTGAATGTATGGTTAATCAGATATTTTTATATAAACTAATGAGTGGAATATATATATATATATATATATATATATATATATATATATATATATATACTATATTATAGTTATACTTATAAATAGTTAATTTTACAATTAATCAAAATTAATTACAATAATGTTGAGTAGTTTAATATTATCTACAATTATGGTCCATGGTCATTTTTTAAAAAAAATTAAATGTATGGTTTACTATAGATATTTAATATAAACTATACGCTATCTGTATCCACACATTTAAATACTTGTGTCAATAGAGTAGCGCACAGTTAGGTGGGTTGGGTGGGTTGGAAAGGGGTTTACAACACATATATATTTTAATAAAAAAAATGTTATTTTCATATACATATATATAGTGATGTCGGCGAAACAGTAGGAACGGTATGGATATGATCATCGATGCCAACCAAATACCCGATATGATTAGTCCGGTACGTTGTTTAGTGAATCGGGCCTTCAATGGATATAGAATGGCCACAAAACGGTCCAACGATATGGCCGATAGTGTGAGTACCGATGAGGTCAGACATGTCACTGAAAAATTACAAAACAAAACAAAAAATTTATTTTATTTTATTTAAAATATATTTCCAACCAAAAAAAAAATATAGCATGAATTCAATGATACTATAAATTAATATATAGTTTATATAATATTGATTAAAATATTTGATAACTATTTTATATATATATATTATGTAAGTATCCATATTGTTGTCTATGTATTGCTTCCTATGCTATATATATATATATATATATATATATATATATTGATAGCATAAATATAATATATATATATATTGTTAACTATAAAGCAAAACACTTTAGTGTAGTTTTTTTTGATAAGCTATTGAATAATAATAATAATACAGTAGTATATAAAAAGCCAACAACAACAAAAAAAGTTTTATTATGTATTGAATATATAAAATGATTTTTTCTATAGTTATATATATATATATATATATATATAAATGTTTTTATGTTAAGTTATCTAACTGTCCACTTGAACCAGTCATACAGTATTTATATTGTATATACAGTTTATATTTTTTTTATCGTAGGCTTTCCATTCAATTATATTGAATATAATACAGTATTATTGCAAATAATATTATTATTGAAAATTTCCTGAATATTTTGACAGTCCATATAAGTGGCTATCATTTTATACATATATATATATATATATATTTATAATACAGTATATAAACTAGTAGTCATATTATCAATAAATATATTTATAATATATATTGATATTAATGTATAAATGTTATGAGATTTCGTGTAATTTTTTTATATGAATAGAGAAAGTGAACCAAAAAAAATATATTAATATATAAAAAAATATGATTTTTATTATTATTTAATAGATTTCAATCAAATGTTTTGTATATTAACTTATTTTTATTAATATCATATATTATTATTATTAAAATATTGTTTATTATAAAAATATTATTTATTATTAAAATATTGTTTATTATTATTAAATGTCACTATAATAACATTTAAGATATTATTATTATTATTATTATTAATATATACTAGTATATTAATATTAATAATATACAGGTTTATTAAAGTATATTAAATATATAAAATATATTAAAATATTTTTTTATCTAACATTTAAAAGTTTTCCTATAATAAAAATAATAGCCATAAAAGTATACAAATTAATTAAATATCATATAATATTATTTTATAATATTTTTGTTTTGTTTTGTTATATAATATAGAAATTTGTTGATTAAAAAAATCAATTTACAGTAATAATAATAATATAATTAGTAATTAAGTTAATAATATATAAAAAATAAGTTTTTTAAATTAAAAAAAATTATTAAAAAACAAGCAATAAAAAAATCATTTAAGTTTTTTTTATACAAAAAATTATCTCAAATATTAAACTATTAATTTAAAGTATAGATCCCTTTTAATTAAAATCATTTATATATATAAATACTGATAATATATTACATTAATATAACTCAAAATTGTAAAATATCTGCATATATATTATTTGCTATTAAATTTAAAAAAAAATTTATTTAAAAAATATGATTATATTTAATAGTTTAGATTTATTTATATGATATACCCTATTAAATATTAATGTACAGTAATATAGTAATAATGTAAAGTTCATACAAAATTAAATCCCATATATGAAATTAGTTATTTTTTTTATTATTAATACTAATAGATTTACTTTAAATATTTAAAAAAAAGATAAAAATAATTTTATATTAAATAAATACTAAAATTTTTTTTTATATTATTAATTGATTAATCAATAAAAGTCAACTAAAATTTAATTACTAATAATACAAACAAAAATAGTAATAAACTATTTATTTTTTTGTAAAATCACATATTCATCAAATTATAAAAAATATATTATAATATAATTCAATAATAAAAAATTATTATTATTATTGATATCTCAAAACAATTTAATAATATTTAATAATTATTAAATACATTTAAAAAAATTATTTTGTTTTTGTATTTTTTTTGTAATGTATTTTATACTATTTAAATCATTTTCAATAGTTTTGAGATAATAATAATAATTTTTTTCTATTGAATTATATTATAATATTTTTTTTTAAAAAAATAATCTGATTAATATGTTAATTAATTAAAAATTAATTAAAAAATAATCCGGGTAATAATAATAATAATACTTACTTTGTATGAATGCATTAAATTTGCACATAAATGAGCCCAATAGATAAAACGGTTTGGTTATCATATCTATTTGATTGATCCATAAACAGAAACCGCATACTAGTATGGATGAAACGGCCAGATTGGTTAGGTAGTAGTTGATAGTTGATCTCAAATGATGACATACTATAACGGCTACTATGACGGCACCGTTACCTACGAGTATGACTAGGCTGACCACTAGGCAGACTACTATTTGTAGTATAGTTATCAATGATATACCAGCCGATGACGATCGTATGAGTTCGGGTCGCGGATATTGTAGACGTTGGAAATCGATGACCGATATGTCCAGATTGGCCGAGCAATCATCGGCAGCACCAGTATTACTACCACTACTACCAGTAGTAGTAGTAGTAGTACTAGTAATGGTCGACCCGTTTGTGACTGCGGTAATGGTGTTGTAGTAGTAGTAGTCATCATCATCATTGACAGTGGTATCGGTATTAATATAATTATAGATATCGTTGATATTATCATTGATTAGCAGTAGCCGACTATTGCTAGACAATTGTCTAATAGTTTCATTAAAAAACAACATTTTTTTTGTTTATTATTATTAATTGTATTTAAACGGATACACAAACACTACATTGGATAACAAAATTGATGAAAGAAATAACAAAAATAATATATATATATATAAAACAACTTTTTTTTTCTTTAATTACATTTATCTGTATATTGTATACGATATATAAGTTTTAGTTTTGTTTTTTGGTGTGAATTAGATATAAATAAAAGGGATGTCTTTTTTTTTCTCTCTCTCTATACATGACATCCTCTGTTTAATTGCGATTACATTGAAATGACAAAACTTTTTAGTAGCAGTTTGTTTGATGAGATATATACTGTATATATATATAATAGTAATATATGGGAAACAATATATCCAAATGTATAGTACAGTATATATTGTGTGGACAGTTGTTTTGTTATACAGCTATCACTTCTCATCTCTCAATCCTAATGTGTCAAAAAATATAGAGAGATGCGATGGTTATGCCTACCAGTGCTCTACATATATACAGTACTTACTGTATATCAATGGGTATGCCTTTAAGCCGTTTCCTTAGCAGCAAAAAAACGAGATGAAGGAGACTGAGAGAGACTGAGAGAGAGAGAGAGAGAGAGAGAGAGAGAGAGAGAGAGAGAGAGAGAGAGAGAGAGAGAGAGAGAGAGAGAGAGAGAGAGAGAGAGATGTTTAGCTCTCTCTCTCTATCAAAACTGTTATATATTTTTTTGATTTTGAAGATTTTGATTGATTTACTACTTTAACAGTGAATCTTAAGTGTTTTTATATGATATCCTATATAATAGGATATATAATAATATAATAATATCATAATATATATATTAAATGTCTTTTACTTTCTCATAGAAAAAAACATTTTTATTTATACAGTATTTAACTAATATATATATATATTGATATAATATATATTAATACTAAATATATTATTTAATATATATATATTTGGTGACCTTTACTATCTATAATATAATTTTTTATATTAATATATATAAATAATCTGTTTTTCCTATTAGTTATATAACTAATGTATTTATTTAGTTATTATTTTTTATTTATTTATTATTAATAGGAAAATAGATTAGTATAAAAATAGCTTAAATATTTTAAATAAATTAATTTTAAGTATTGATAAATATAATATTAAATTATTTATTTTTTAAAAAACTTAAAGTTATAATATTAAACATTTTAACATAAAACATTTAGCTATTACAACATATAGATAATAAAAATAATATTTTTTTCAATAAATATTTAAAGGTTTTATTGATTTATTTATTTTATTTTGTGGATAACAAACAAAATAATATACAGTATTATCTCAATTACTAAATAAATAAATAAATATTGAATAACTTGAATAATTAAACAATTTTTATTTTGGTTATAAAAATATTTTATTGATAATAATAAAACATCAAATAACACATTAAAAAGATATATTTATATAAAAAATTACAATTATTTAGTTATTTTGCTTTAAAATTTTTTTTTTTAAAAATAACAAATAAAAAAAATTATAAACGAATAATATATTTACAATAATAATAATAATTTTATAACATTTACTGTTTATATACAAATTTAATGATAAAAAAATATAATTACTTATATATTTTAAAAAACGTTTAAAAATATATTTATAGAAAATTTTTTAAAAACATTATTAACTATGCCTTAAAACACTTTTAATTTTTAATTTATATAAAACTTTTACAAAAATAAACACATATTTATATATATATATATATACAGTATATTATTGTATTAATAATACTACTATTAATTTGTACAGTATTTTATAAATAGTTGTATTATATTTAATCGTAAAGTTTTTTTACTTATTTTTTGTTTGTTTGAATGATAAATATCTCTAAACCAACAACAAAAACAACAACAAAAATGATTGAATTATTACTTAAAATACATATAATTTTATAAATATATTTAATTTCATGTCTTATCTGACACTAATTATAGAGTTAATTATTTTTTTATTATATATATAAATACAGTATAAATATATATATAAACAGTATATAAAGTTATCAAAAAAACTAAAATTAAATTATCGTTTAAAATAGTTAATCATTTATTTTTTTTTCAACTAAATTGTTGATTAATTGATTGACAACTTTCTACAGTTTTTTTTAAATACAGTAAATTTGAGACAAAATTAGCAATTATTTAGTTATTTATTTAATAACAAATTTTTGTTGTTGTTGTAAATTACAGGAACCATTTCAAAACAAAATAATAATAATAAACTAATTTTTATAAACAATTTTTTTTTGTAAAATATTTTTTGTAACAAAAAAATCATTTTGTACTCAATTATGTAATTTTTTTTTAATAAATTGAAATACATTTTGTTTTGTCTATTTATTTCAATTTCTATATATTATTATATATAAATATATATATATTAATAAATTGAAATAATTATTTTTTATAATATATAAATTTGTACATTTTGGTATTATAATATAAATATTAACAATTTAGTATAATAATAATAATAATAATAAGCAAATTATTAAATACAAATATAATTTATATACAGCTATATATATATATATATTTATAAAAAAATATATGAATAAATTAGCTAAACTTGTTATATCAAATCATAAACTTTTGATTAAATGTTTTTTTTAATAACATTAGACTTTTTTATTTATTTTTAAAAAACACATAAATTGTTAACTATGCTAAAAATCATTATTATTATTTCAAAATTTTTTTTTACATTTAATTATACTGTACATACACTGTGACAATCATATATAATCAGATATGATATACAGATGCCTATTTAATATATTTCAAAAAAAAAATTATATATTATAAATTGTTTTATAATTATTATTTCAAAATAAACAAAAAACTATAATAATAATAATTACTAATTATTTTTATTATAAACTATAATATAGTTTTTATATAACTTATAGTTATATAAATCACAGTATCTTATTTTTTTTTAAAAAATATACATTATATATATATTATCTAGCACAATTATCTTAGCACTGGGATACAGTTGTTTGATGACCACCATGGTCATCAACAACACGTTTAGTATTATTATTATTAATACTACTACTACTACTACTACTACTACTAGTATTACTTAAATCAATTGTTTTACTATTATTATTATAGGGTTGTCTTAGCTTACAATTGCTATCGTAATAGCTATTTGATGCCTGTATCAGATCGACACTACCCCGAGTATCATCGGTATCAGTGTCGGTATCAGTGGTATAACCCATACGCCGACTGTTCAGATAGTATCGGTTAACCAGACAGGCCATACCGGTGCCCAATAGCAGGCCAGACCAGACATCGCTCGGATGATGTCGGTTGACAACTATCCGGTTTAAGCCGATATAAAGTGATGCCAATACAGACATCAGCTGTAGTACAGCCTTGAGTGCGACCAATAGTTGGGAACGCATTTTCTGGTGCAGGTATATACAGAAATAGACGGCACAGTAGGCCGAATAGGCTGAATGACCCGATAGGAAGGACATCCGAGCCTCTTGAATCTGGTCGTACAGTCGATAGCTGTTAGCACAGGTATAGTTGTCCACATAGATTGCCGTACGACTGTCCTCTTTGCCACTGCCGTTACTACCGCGGCAATCATAGTCGGGTCGGCACAGATCAATAAAATCGGGTCTCAATCGGCCCGTAGTATACTTGATAACAGTAGTTATCAGTACCAATACTAGTGCACCCAAATAAAAAACGGATAGTTTTTTATATAATTTCCACGACAGGTATCGCCAATCAAATTGATGGGATGTCTTATCGATGAAAACATACATTTTCCGCACACGTATCGACTCGAAGACAATGATGGCCACCGCTGGCAATACGAACGACCAGATAAGCAGAAATATGGCCGCAAACCCACCGCCACCGCTACTACCACCAGCACCGGTAGCACTGGTGGTGATGACCAACTCTTTGTGCGGGTAGCGTATGGTATGGTCATCGCACCAGTAGCCCCGTCGATAGGGTTGACATAAACATTTGATGAGTAACCAGAGGAACAGTATGATTGTAAAACACAGGGAATCGATACATATTTTTTTTGTCCGACTCGACCTCATGAGCTTAACTTCCATCAAATGATGCAAACAATACATTAGTTGAGACATTGGTTTTTTAAAGGATCAGTTGGTTATTATGAGTTAGGGAGAAAAGTCATGTATTTTTTTATGATTATTAATTAATTAATTAAAAAAAACACAAAAATTATTATTAAAACTTTTTTTGATGATAAAATCATATGTCTATCGATGGGTATATATATATATAATTAACACTTAATTAAATGTTTTATTTTTATTTAAAAAAATTTTTTTTTATCATTTATTTTCACACACTTGTTGACTGTATTTTTAATACACATCTAATTAGACGATAGTTTTGATTTTTGTTGAAAAATATTTATATATATATCTATATATATATATATATATATATATATATATATATATATATATATAAATGTATTTATAATAAACAGTTTATATTATATAACCGTAATGTTGTTGTTGTTGAGGTTATTGTCTATTTATTACATTATATATAATGATAATAATAATACTGTAGATAATAATGATACTAATAAATCATTTTTATTTTATTTTTATAAAAAATTGTATTTTCATTCATACAGTTAAACCCCACACACATATACACACCGATAATAGGCTATAAATGACCCAAATTTACAGGTATTAGCTATGATATTATAATAAAAACATATATATATATATATAATATTTATTATTATTATTATTATTATTATTAACACTTTGGCGAACATTCACTTTTTAATATCAAAAAAAATAATATTTTTTCTACTAATTTATATTAAAAACAAAATTACACGACAACTCCTTTTATTACAATTATAATAATATTAAATAATAATAATAATAAATCTTTTAAGTAAATGATTTTTAACTTTATTTTATATGCTCTAATTCATAGACACTTTATTAGTATTTATTATTATTATTATTATTTAGTTAGTATGCACACCAAAAAAACAAAATTATATTTTAAATAAAATTATTTGTATAATCAATATACATAATAAGTATATATATATTATTATATCATTTATTAATAATAAAAAAATTAAATGAAAACTAATTTTTTTTATATTACAATTAACAATAATAATTGTAATATAATAACAAACAAAATAAATAAATTTATTTCCACTATTAAAGAAAAATTGATTGACAATTGAATTATGTTTTCTATTTATTAAAATTTTTTATTTATAATAAATATATTTATATATATATATTTATATCATATAATTATATTAACTTCAAAAAATGGTAATCCTTTTTAATAATAATTGTAATAATATTTTTAAAAATTATTATTAGTAGTAAAATTGAAAGCTATTGATGGGTTATACACATATAAACACAACAATTATTAAACAAATCTATAAATACTTTTTTATTATTATTATTATTATTGAATAAAAACATATTTTTATTATTACTATTAAATATTTCTAATAATTTTTTTCATATATATAATAATAAAAACTATTTTTAATACACAAACAAACAGTTTTGTTGCGATTTTTGTTTAAAAAAAAAACTTTTTTCTTAACAAACATTTTACTAACAAAACACATATCAAACACTATATATATGAATATATTTACTAAAAGTTATATACAATATATGTATTTATATATATATATATATATATATAAAATCTGAGCCCAAATAAAGCAAATTTTTATTTTAACACCCGTTTGGCATCTTTTTCATGTTATAACTAAAATATATATATATATATTTACACACATTTATGAATGCATAACTTTATTTTAGTTATATATATTGCATAATAAACTTGTATATATACAGTATATACTCTGTACTAATATTATTTTGAAAAACTTGTGTTTGTATGTATAGCATAGGTATACATCCCATACAAATACAGGTGCTTTTGGTGTGTATGTGAGTTGAATGGGGTGTTTGAGCTCTCAATATATATATTTATATATATTGTATAAACTCTCTCTCTCTCTCTCTCTCTCTCTCTCTCCTAATCCCAGTTTTTACAGGACAACTGTTGATGGATAGGGAAACTCCTACTTAACTACAAACAGTCAACACCAACACCACTACAACAACAATAACAACAACAAAATCGGCACAACTTGTTGTTTATGACATCAATTGTTCAATGATTTTATAATAGCTTTATATATATAGTATATATATATAGTATATAAAACTTATACAATATTTTTTTAATAATTTGTTATTTTTTTGTTTGTTTAAAATGTCTATAATTTATATTTATATATACAGTATATATGGATATATATATACTGTAAATAATTATCATTTGATGGATTTATATATATATATAATATAGTATAGTATATAAAACATTATAAACACATATTAATACAAAACAAAATCTAAAAACTATTCAAAATTATATATATTATAATAATAATAATATTTTAATGTAATTTTAAGTTTTTTGATTTTTAAAAAAACTTTTTTTATTTGTTGGTTGATTTGATATTATAAATAAATTTTCTAAACATTACAAAATTACACAATATATATATATATATATATATATATATTAACTTAATTTGTGTGTAATTTAACCAACAATCAGTTCAAGCAATTTATCATATATTTTATACATTTATAATACATTATTATTATTATTATGATTAAAACATTGATGATATAAATTTTTATTTAACAGTATTATTATATATAATGATATTAGTGACACATAATAATAATAATAATCATTATTTAGCACAATATAATAATCATTCAAAAAAATTTGATAAATTATGTTTCAACAATAAAAAAAGATTTTATTTAAAAAATAAATTATTGACAGTTTTAGGTCTAAATATATTTATTTATTTTTATTTTTTTTTAAAAATACAACAAACAAAAAATATTTTTATAAACTATTATACAAACCAACAAACAAACAAATAAACAAAAAAAAACTTTTTTTAAAAAATAATATATTGATTATTGTTTTATATTATATATATATATACTGTATATATATATTATAGATAGTATTGTGGTTTAACACAAACAACAAATGTTTATCAAACTAAAAGTGTTTAAAACTATTTATTTTTAAAACAATAACAAAAATTTAATAAAAAATAATAAAAAAATCAATTGAATATTATATATATATATATATATATATATATATAGACACATAGTATTAAATAAAATGTCATTTAATCAAAATAAATGTTTGTTTTTTTTTAGTTTTTTGCAAATAAAATGTCACATCTATTGAGAGATTTTTATTATTATATAACTATTATATAATACAGTATATATTGATATATAAATACATTATATATTATTTTTAATAAAAAAAACATGTTTTGCAAAATAAATTTTTTATTTTTATTCAAAAAATATTTGTTTATAAAAAATCAATCAAAATTTCAAAATGAATGACACATTTTTATCAATAAAAAAATAAATATTTTTTTTAATAACTAGTTTAATACAAAATATTTATTTTGTTAAAAAAATGATTGTCTGATAAATTAATAAATAATTATTTACTTATAATAATAATAATATGAAAATTTATTTAATATTTTTCTACTAATTATTTTGTTATACAATATTACGGTATTATTATTGATAATATACATACATAAAGATAAAAAATAATAAAATTAATAAAAATTATATTTTGTTAATTAAAACTTGATTAATGATTAAAAAAACATTATATAAATTAAACGTCTAATTTTGTTTGTTGTTTTATTTTTATTTTTTATAATTATTAATTTATGTAAATGTATCATCGCTTAAATATATATATATATATATATATATAAAATATATGACATTTTTATAGTTTATTAAATTAATACTTAAATATTTCATAACTTAAAGGATTAGTTGTTTTTTGTTTGAATTTTTCTTAACATAGTTTTTATTTTAATAAAAACCCTTTTGGGTCTAAATAACTATATATTTATATATTTATTTATAATATGATAATATATGTTAAAGTGATGCTAAATATTTTTTTTTATATATAGGGTTATCCCAATTATTAGATAATATATTGTATTTAACATATATATTATAATAAGATATATATAAAAAAATATATTAATAATTTATGAATAATTTTTTTAGAAAGTTTACTAAAAAATATTCAAACAATTTGAACCAAATATTTATTTAAATATATTTGTTTAATAATATAATAATATTTATTTTATTTATTTTGTTTACTAAATATACGACATCGTTGTCTAACACAATATAAAAACAATTAATTTAATATTTTTTTTACAAATAAATAAATAAATTGTAATAATTTTTATTATTATTATTGGCCATTAATTTTATAGTTGGAAAATAAAACTTAATATTTATTTAATCTATTTATTAATTGTTTTATTTAAATTACTTAAATCTTGTTATTTAGTTTATTTATTGCAAAATTAAATTTTTGATTTTTACTGATTTTGATATATATTTATGCAAATTAAATATAAATTATAAAATCCTTATTGAGTTATTCACATAAATATATATTGATTGATATGTATATATATATAACAAATTAGTAATTAATCAAATAATGTTAATGATATATCAATAGTTAAATATCGATTAATATATATATAAGTAATTATTTAATTATAATTAATATTTGTTTTTGTAATAAAATTTATAATCAATTTTTTTGTTGAATGTCAACATAGATTTTTGTTAGATTTTTTTGTTGTTGGTATTACATAAACAGTATTATTATTAATGATTATAACTATTTTAATAATTTAATGTATATTTTACAGTAGATATGTACACAAAAAAAATATTTTTAAAAACCATTTACTTGTTTACTAATAATAAGTACTATTTTTAAAAAAAAAAAATTATTATTTTAAATAAAAACATTAAATACTAAATATATCTCTAATTCATTAATCTTAATGTTATGTTATTTTTTTAAAGTTTAAACATTTTTTTTGTGTGGAAAAAATGTTTAAATACTTGTGTAAACTGTATTATAATTTACATTATAATATTGTATAGTGAACTATATTGTAAAATATATTATAAAGTAATTTTCA